TGGGGAATCTAGCAAGTATTGATATCTCACTGTGGTTTTATAATTATGGCTGTACTTCGCGTTCAAAATTGAAAAAATGCTCGAAAAAGTAGTGTTTTCACATTTCATTGATTTTCTCGAAAACTATAATACATAGAATGATCCAAAAGATGCATATGAAAGCTGAATGTTTGGGGAATCTAGCAAGTATTGATATCTCACTGTGGTTTTATAATTATGGCTGTACTTCGCGTTCAAAATTGAAAAACTCAAAAATTTAACTGGAAAAAATGTGTGTTTACATTTTGAGACTGGATCGAAAATATGCTTATATAAATACAAGATGTAAATTTCAATAATGTCTTAATATTTGATTACACTAGTATTATGTAAAAAAGTGAGATTGTAATTAAGTAATTTGTGTAATTATTTAAATAGTGCAACTTGGGTTGCCTGCTCAACAGTATTAATCAGTATTAATTTTGGCATAACCTAAAGTAGTAGAATCGTTATTTAAGGGACGCACACTTAATTAATTTCCAATAATTCAAATCTCTAAAGCTGAAAGTCATATTAATTGCAATTACCAATTTCGTATCGATTTTCAGTTAACCTTAAACCACAAGATGTTGTGCTCAATGCTCAGGAGTGTTAGACATTCTCTTTTAGGTCAGTTTAGCTATAGCTTTGAATCTCAACAGCTGAACACTAATTTGCAGGAAACACTAGGCAGTTCTCGAAAATGGTCCTGGATGTGGAAATGAATAGGATAGTTTGGGTGGATCTCGAGGTATTTGCACTTAATAATTGTTTTTCCAATTTTGTTTAACTTTATTATTACTTTTTTTTAACAGATGACTGGATTAGATATTGAGAACGATACAATAATGGAGATTGCTTGCATAGTCACAGACTCTGATTTGAATATCATTGCTGAAGGTCCCAATCTCATCATACAAACACCTGAGGAAAAATTGAAGGAAATGAATGAGTGGTGTGTAAAGCAGCACAGTAAAGTAAGGAATTTTGTAATTGTTAATACGGTTATATGCAGTGATCTTGTTTCGATTGCAGACTGGATTAACGGAAGCGGCTAAGAATTCTCAGATCACTTTACAGCAGGCTGAAGACACTGTTATGGATTTTATTACTAAACACGTGACGAAAAGTGCCAGTCCTTTGGCGGGAAACAGCGTTTACATGGATAGATTGTTCCTGAAGAAGTACATGCCCAAGTTGGACGAGTACTTGCATTACAGGATAATAGACACATCAACAATTAAAGAGCTGTGTCGCAGGTGGAACAATGATTTGTTTAAGAACGTTCCCAAGAAGGAGTACAACCACAGAGCGTTGACGGACATCAGGGATAGCATCAAAGAGTTGCAATTCTATAAAGGCAACTTCTTCAAAATCAACGAATCATCAAATGTGATTTAGTTAAATCTTCTTCTTCTTCCTTCCTCTCCACACTTCGCTTGGCTTGCGCGTCTTGCATAATTTCGCCAGCCACGGTTTTTATTAATTTGAGATTTCTATTTAGTTAAATAAATTAGCTCAATTTGAAAATCGTGTTTGCCTTTTTTTTTGTGTATGCAACCAAATGTACCGGATTTGAATTGAGGTTATGTTGTTTTTTGTTTCCACCGAATGACTGTGATGTTTATTTGGTTTAACAGTTCCATTTAATTAATAATTTAAAATGAATTACAATTTCGGTGAAATAGTGGAACCCCCAACGAGGGCTTTGATCGACGAAAATCTTCCCATAACGATAGAGTAAGTGAAGAAGTTTTAATGGATTATTCGATAATGAAACATTTTGAAAATTGCAGCTTGGAAATTCCCAATAGTTTGGTGCTTCCGCCAAACATAAACACTCTGCTCATCGCAGACACCAGTTATTTGAGTAAGCTATTGAAATTGTGCCTGGTCTCGGAGCCTATGTTCTCAACGAAGAAAAACGAATTGACTTTTTACAAGTTGAATGATCATTACATAGTTGTATGTAAATTAATCGAAGGTGTCTCCATTGGAAAGGTAAAAGATTTTGTTTTTGTTCTTTGTACAATTTTTATTGTGTGTAATATATTCAAGGCTACCGAGATTTTGATGCCATGGATCAATCTCTCCGAGGTGGTGTACGCGATGACGACGAGCCCTTTGGCCACGTACCAGAACAAGAGCGATTCGAACATGCTGATGCTCTCGACTGATGGAAACACCTGCTACCCAACGCTCCAAGTGCCGAATCTGGTGACCGGCGTAACGGCTGGCGTCTTCTCTTACGCCAAGCACGTAGGTAAATCCTGTTCGCTCTTCATCGGTTACATCGACAACACACCGTTGGATTCCGTAAATTCGAAACCGTTCGTGGAGCTGCTCCGGAAGATCGATCTGCCGCCGGTACGGGAATGTGTGCTTCAGGACAGACTGCCCGAGCACAATCTTTACATGTAATAAATTAAACTAAAAAAAGAAACGAGTGATTTTGGGCGAAACAACGATTGATTTATGCCCTTAATCCCACGCGTACGTGCTCGTTTCTGCGGTGTACTTTATACATTCAAAATTGGAGACGCGATTCGCACTGTCCGACACGAAACTCTTGAGAACGCTACTCGCCAAACCGCAGTCGGATAAGTTCTCTTGCTTGAACACCACGTTGCCGTCGCCGTCCTGTTCGCCCACAGTTATTTTCCCTAAAGCCAAAGTCGACTCAAAGTTCGAGAACGTTGCAGTCATGCTGTTCTCTTCGGGATGGATCAAGCACAGATTGTGTATTAGATGCGGCAGTATTGGACCAGACAAATCCAACGAGTAATAGTAGTCGTTGTCTAAATGCACTTTGCTCTCGCGCACTTTTAACGCGTTCAACGTGGCCCCATTAAACGCAACGGGCGCCAAGAGTGTCGGTGGAATCCCCGCGTAAGTACCTGTAGGCGCTACAGCGCTCTTGCAATTGACCAAGTAGCTGTAAAAGGCCTGCACTTCGGGTCCTTGTATCAGCACTAAACTCTGTTCACTGTTATCCAATTCGCATTCAGCCTTTTGCGTTATTTTCGCCTAAAAAAAAAGAAATTATTTTGAAATCCAGTTAATCTTTGTAATCATGTAAATCTCTCACCTGAGTGTAATTTATTTTCTTGATATCCTCCTTGTTGATGCCCATGCTTTCCAGCCAATCCTCATCTGTAGTCTCATCTTCATCCTCCTCCTTTTTAGAGTCTAAACTGTCATAGCCAGCGTCCACCTCAATCTTTTTCTTCAGAGGCATTGTGAACTCGATCTCCTCCTGCCTCAAAGACTGCCTGAAACCCCTGGTAGTTGGTGTGACTAGCGCATGCATTTCGTTGAAACCACCGATACCAGCAGCTCTGAATAGCACTGTAAAACTATTTGCACATGCGTAAAAGTATGGACACTGCTTCGTTCGAATCAACTGGAACAATGACTTCAAACTCTCTGTCCATGCTATGTGCAGGCTCTCCCTGATAGTCGAATTGGAGCCGACACTGCTTCCACCTGCAGAAGCTTTCATTGTTGTCCTGGGGAACAAGTTCATCCATGGCAGTGAAGGTTGCTGCCAGTAAAGGCAGCATTGATGAAACTTTGAATTTGAGGATGTGTCCAATGAAGATGTTGTCGTCCTCGTATCTAAGCACCTCGTGAAACTTGTGAGTCCTGATGCCTCCTCGCTGATCTTCAATTTCTGATTCCATGCAAACGGCTTCGATGAGAGAAATCTCACTTTTGTTTTCAATGTCCAATCAATTGGTATCCACTTCTCGCCGGCCACCTTGACCACCTCGACTGGTTCACTCTTCTTATTGTCCAACTTATTTAAAATATTATCAAAACTTACATAGTTCTCTGCAGGTTTTGCCTGTTTATCTGCATTCAGATGCAGCAGCTTGAAGAGCGTCTGGTCTGCGGACTCTTCTGTGTTCACCTCGGGTTTCGTCCTCTTGGTGTCGCTGCTCGTGATGAAGGGATTCTTCCTCTTCGCCGAAGTCAGCACGTTCTCGAAATTTCCACTTGTTGTTGCAGGTACGACCTCCTTTTTCGTCGTCTGCATGCGAGCCTGCAGCGCTTTCTTCTTCCTCTTCAGGTTGTGCAGTTTCATCACCTCCGAGGGGTGCATCCACTTGAAACCGGGCTTCATCTTCTCTTCGCTCATCCTAATTCAATTGATCAAAGACGAGCGCACATCGAAATCATCAATTCAAACACACCACAACAACTGACAACAACAATGCAACGCAAGGGGGAAAAGTCGTTGATCCATCTGACATGAGCAGAATATGCAACCACATATACTTTAAATACGATTTTTCCTATTATGCAACCAAACACTCAATATTATTTCTACAAATAAGTAAAGCGATAGAGTGGCCATTATTTTTATTTCACTTTATATAGTTTGTTGTTTTTCCTTTTCTGCAGTATTCTTTCCTGTACAATTGCTAAAAAATTTACAATAATTAAAATAAACGTATGGTGATTATGGGAGAAATGTAAAGGTTTCCTCCTTTCATTTCTTTTGAAACCGGAGCACAACTTCCACGCAGTAACCACGATAAAAACTAATAATTAAATAAAATAATAATAAACAAAAAAAAATAATAATAGTATAGAGATGAAACGGAGGAACGGATTCGTCGTCGTTCATTCACGCCATATAGATGAACGTGTTGATGTCGTCATCGTCGCGCTTCATGTACTTGTGTTCGATGAGCCATTCCAGCTGCTCCTTGATCATCTTCTTGGATGGTAGGAACATGTTTTTCAGGATGTCGACGAGTTCCGTTTGCAGAGCGGCATTCGTGATCCGCTTCCGCATCTTGAGTATCTTTATGATCGCCTCCTGCGTTCGCAATATTCTCAGCTGCACGATGGACTGATTATCCTCGAGCTGCGATCGCTCCGTGCTCAACTGGAGTCTTCCGATCAAATTAACCTGAAAGCGATTCGATTTAATAAGGTTTCCTCATTAGTATATTTCATTATGTAATTAATACCTTTCCGCGCCTCTGGGGTTTTCCGTTCTTGATCAGTGAGAAGTTCTGGTTGATCCAAAAGAGCGTGTGCTCTGTAAAGTCTTTGGAGCCCGAAACGGCGGGGCTTAACAGCAATAGCTGCCTCTTAAGTTTAGGGAACGCCACCAAGGACCAAAGGGTCCTTCGCAGTTCGGCATCGGGTAATTCGGTTGCCAGACGGAGATTCTCGTAGCTGACTTTGTCTCGGGGTCGCTGATTCCACGCGAAGAGCACCGCCATCTGGAAGGTTGTCACGTCCAGATCAAACTTTCCGACTTCGTTCATGAAGGTTATAGTGCCGTTGCTCATATGATGATACCTAAAAGTTAATTGTTTTAGAAATATTCGAGTGTATCTTCACGATCAAATACCATTGTAATTTTCTGCCCGAATGTTTCTTCTTGTAGAACTCCTCGACCTCTGGAATGTAGTCTTCGAGCTCTACCGGAAGGCTGACGGTCACGCGTTCCGAGCCGCGAGCCCAAGCGCCGGCGTTCAGTATCTTGATGTTGATGGCATCGTGACGAGCAGTGGACGTGCGGAACAGACAATTCAAATCCTCGCTCACCTTGATGTCCTGGAACATCCTCGCCAACTTGTTCACGTAATCTGCCGGCATTCCGACCTCCCTTAGCCATTCCACCATGTCTTCCTCCTTCTCGCTGTCTGCACTGTTATTTCGAAAGCAAATAATGAATAAGACAAAGAATTCGTGATGATCGAATCAATGGGATTTACCTAGCGTCCAAAATCAGTCTTCTAGTTAAATGTGCTTTGTGATACCTCATGAAAACGTCCTTATTCGAGACGTACTTGAGCACTAGCAGGACGTCCCTCAATCGAGATTCGATTTCCTCGGTGGTGAGGCGTTTCGAGAGGGGCGTCCGTCGAAGAAGCATATCACAATAGTTGGCCAACAGCTCCGGACACTTGCTCTCTGGAGCGACGGTCTTCGGGCCAGGATTCTTCCCGGTGTTCAATTCCAATCTGAATACGTTCGTGTCGTTCACTACCGCCTTGAAGGCCTTATCTCTGGCCGTCAAGAATCTGGGATCATCGTTGAAGGCCTTATGCACTAGAGTACTGAATTTTCTGAACAGCTCCAGCAGCCGCTCGACGTACTTCTCCGAATCCTGGGTTATAACGTCGGCGGCCGCAATCATATCGGCGAGACCCGCCAACGTGATATGTTGCTCCAATTCCATGAGCATAGGCTGCACCCCATCCGGAACTCTCTCCAACAATCTGAACATCAGTTGCAGACGATCCGTTTCGCCGGCTTTAGTGAGTGGGGCGCATTCGGCCAACAGCACCGACAAATTCTTTCCGACGAGCACGTCCACGCAACTCTGTATGACCGCGTTGCTGCCCGCTTCCAAATACTTCTGAGCCCTAGCCTCCTCCTCCCTCAACTTAGAGTCCGCATATTTCATGTAAGCCTGCACTCCGTTCTTTGCTAAATAATCTGGTGCCTTCACTCTATAAAACATCTCAGTCGATTTTATGTAGGCTGATTCGAAATTCTCTCTATATATTTGCATCTTATCGTTAGGATTTGAACATAAATTAACATAAGACTCCCTCACACCTGCAACAAGCACAAGTGAATTTAAGGCAAACGAAGATCAACATCATAATACCTATTACTAATTGCGAATCAAATGCTTCACCGTTCCTCTCTGCATGCACCAGTTTCATAGCACTTTCTTGTAACCTATGTTTAATATCACTAAAAATACTCACATTCCACGAATCTAACATTAATTTTCTTACTATACTCTCATCAGCCTGACCCTTTTTGGCATTTCCACTTAAGAGAGTTGAGGTTCCTGATTTCCCCTATAACCAACGAATGCATTATTAACAAAATTATCAACAAAAAAGTTCAAAACACTGAAAGAAGACACTTACTAATAAAGTATTCTCCAGTTGCCTGAACGGTGTTGGCAAATAATTGCATTGTGTAAAGAACTTTCTCCACTCGGCTATGTAAGCCTTGAGCAGAGCCTGCTCTTCCCTCTGTGCCAGAACTCTTATCTGAGCCTGCTTGATGAACTGCACAATGTCCTCCTGCAGATAATCCTTCAGTTTGGCAGGTCCTTTCTCGTCCCACAGGCAGACCAGATGCACATCATAGAAGAGATCCTGCCATTCTCCAGGTGACACTGGCTCTTGTTTGAGGAGCTTCAGGACAATAGGTCTCATGTTAGGCCATTTGTCCTCGAACTTCAACTGCCCTTTCTCCTGAAACAAAACACCCTAACAGTTGTTTGCAATTCCAATCGTTTCCCCTATCAATATATCACCTTCAACATTGTAATCTCGATTGTGATGACGACTCTCGTTCGCAAAATTTTCTTGATACTCTAACTCCTATTGGTTCTACCAAAAAGCCTCATCTTCTTATAGGACAACTTAACATATATTTCTCCCCAATTTTTGTCAATTTTCGCTCTCACACATACAAGCACGAATCAAACACAAAATATAAAATGACAAGACAAAGTGTTTTGGGGACTTTTCACCGTCCATGCCAACAGAAGAACTCGATTATTTGAATTCACGATCGCTCATTTAAATCAATTACAACAAGAACAAAGCTTTCTCAATTAGATTTATAATAAATCTTAATTATCACATATCCTTCTAGTGTATAGAAATGATTGGAATTACTATAGATGTAGGAGATATTGAGGATTTATAAATATAGATTTTCGGTTGCTGCCAAGATGAAGAAACCAAATATCCCATGGTAAACTTTCAAGTTGCAAATTGACATTTGCCCAGTTGCAGCTGATAAGGTGCGGAGCTTTTTTGTTAAACGAATTTCGCAAGGAAATACCGCAGAAGGTCCTCCAGAATGGCATCCAACAAGCTTTCCATGATTGTAAGTCAAGTCTTTATTCATCATCTCCTCAAGTTCCCCATCATTTAAGTCTAAATAATATTGATTACATAATATCCATGTAGGTTATGTATGGGTCATCCTATTGGATTTTTCTTATATAATAACATTCGCCAAATTCAACGTAACCATCTTCTTGTAGGTTCGCCAATTGAGCACCAGCAACGCTAACCAGCAGCTGGTCAAAGCCCCAATCCAAGTTTTTGGCATTGAGGGTCGTTATGCCACTGCCCTGTACTCTGCTGCCAGCAAGCAGAAAACCCTTGATGCTGTCGAGAAGGATCTGATCAAGTTCCAGGACCAAATGAAAGTTGATGGACTTCTGTTTGAATTCATCATGAACCCGACCATCAAGAGGAAATTGAAGGCTGAAGCCCTCAAGTCTGTCTCCTCGAAAATGTCCATGAAACAGGAGACCTCCAACTTGCTCCAGTGCTTGGCTGAAAACGGCCGCCTGAAGAAGGTCAACAATGTCATCAACCACTACAAACTTATGATGTCTGCTCACAGGGGAGAGGTCAGTGCATATTTCTGCAAATTATGTAACAATATTTGATTGTGTGTGTGTGTATTGATTATAGGTTCACTGCGAGGTTACCACCGCTGCTCCGATGGAGCCGGCTCAACGCCAGAAGCTGGAAGCCGTGTTGAAGACATTCCTGAAATCGTCCGAAACCGCTCTGTTGTCCACAAAGGTTGACCCAACGATTTTGGGTGGAATGGTCGTGAGCATCGGCGATCGTTACGTCGACATGAGCGTTTCCAAGAAGATCAAGAAGTACACTGAACTCATCAGCGCCACTGTCTAATTTGTTACGCTTAAGCAGAATCATTATAGAAATTTCAATTAACAAACAAACAAAAAAAAAACGATAAATAAATTATAAAACAAGTCTTTTTTTTCTCGTATTTATTGAACATTGTTCGCCGTAAAACAAGAACGTTGAAAATATATTTGGTATAAACAAAGTGAAATAATATGGATATTCTAGAATAACAATGAAAATATAACTCTGGATTTCGTACAGAAAAGAAATATTGGTAATAACATTAATAAACATTGAACACAACAACAACAAGTATATATCATATATAATAAATCAGACTTTCGATAAGTTTTGCTAATAAACTAGTGAAATGATCGATTTATTTGGATCCGTTCGCTGTTGGAGCGTTTGCGGTTGGGAAAATGAAACCTTGCGAGTTGATCCCAGATGGATACCAGGCCGCAGGTGGTGTGGGCGGATAGATGAAGGGAGATGTCGGGATGAAGGGCATCTCTATACCTGGACTGTACATTGCGACCTGCGGTGATGGCATCATCATGCCGGACATGTCCGACGCCAAAATTACCGGAGTCACGGGCGGAGCGGTCGGATAGACCGGTTGATACATTTCCACCTGACGGAAGAAGAGAAATTGATTAGATTGAAGTTGTTAAAGATGAAGCACCACGTACCTGAGGGCTAGGAGGAGTAGCGTACGGTGGCGGCGGTTTGTTGTCCGCGCAGTAGCAAGACGGAGAATAACTGCCGTCACTGCTGAAGATGTACGTGAAATCCGGCGATTGCCCGATTTCCGTACCGTGCGGACTCGGCGGCACGATCTGATCTTGAGGAGGCAACGGCGGGACGTACTCCCCGTTAGGCCAGACGGTGTACCTAGGCTGGTACGACTCGGACGGATAGTAGAACCTAGGATCTGCAGTCTGGTATACATCCGGAGTCTTCACATTGAAGTAGACGCTCTGCGATGTTGTCGGCACCTGAGCCCACATGATTTGCTCCTGAGAAACGTCGCCGGAGTTCTCCCAATTGTACTCCTGGTATGTATACCCTTGTTCAGGAATCATCGAAGTTGCTCCTTCTTTAACTGCGTCCACCGTCTGCTGCTGCTGCTGCTGCGCCTCCATAATATCCGATTGCATTTGCTACAAAAAGAAAGAAACATAACAAATTGAGAATCAACTTTTAAATCAGTTACCAAAGGCGCGCCCTCGAAAGCGCTCACGACGGCTGTGGCCGCTTCGACGTTATCGACCTGCGACTCTGAATCGTTGCTGCACTTGCTGCTGCACCTCTTCTTCTCGCGCTTCTTCCTCAAACCCTTCTTGTCCGGCAACTCGATCTTCGGAATGGAGAGCACCAGGTTCTTCGAAAACCTGTACGGCAGAGGCCACGGCTTCGCGTCCTCCTCCGGCCTCAGGTCTTTGATGTTCACGGTGCGCTTCTCCGCGCGCGACGTGATGTAAACCACGCACTTCTCGTTCTTCAGTATCTCCTGTATGTAGCACTTCAACTGCTCGTCGTTGTCGTGCAGGACGCACCCGGTGCCTTGGATCAAATTCGCGTCGCCGTAATACCAATCCCCGAGACGCATCTCCTTCCTCATCTCGGTCCAAGTGTCGTACTCGATGTTTCTGTAGATGGTCGGATCCAGGGCTTTGGCCACCTTGAACGGGAACGGTGCGATGCTCGTCTTCAGCATGTACTCCAGATCGTTGAAGCCCTTCTCATCATCGTGATTGGATTTAACCTTTGCATCCTTTACATTGCTGTTAATATCAGTCACTTCCAAATCCGAACTGTTTCCAGCTGGTGGCTTTTGGTATAACATAGTTTGCACTATGTTGCTCACCTTTGGGATTTGGAAAACGTTTTCATACAGAACACTGTAGACAATAGCTGAAGAAGAAAATACAGATCAGCAAATCATTCAGCAAATTTCCTTTACACTTACATTGACAAAAGCCAGCATCTTGGATATAATCCTTCTTGTAAACAGCATCATAATGATCCTCACCCATATGGCACAACAGCATATCATCATCATAAGGATTCAGATTGGTGACATCCTTCATGCACCTGGTGAGCCCATCAAACAGCAAAACGCCTTTCCTGTAAAGTTTAACACAATTAATTTTACAAAACTAAAATCTAAATTCAATGCTTACTTATAGGTTTTGCTGATCAACTGGATCTCAGTCTGCCCACACACAGCCATGTGCTTACCCAACCGGTCCAAATAGATGTCCCAATCTGATCTCTTCTCAAAACACTGCAAGAACTGCCTGTGATTCACCCTCCCATAATCAATGCAATCCTTCCTGATCTTCTCATGGAACAATTGGCATCCAAACAACTTCAAACAAAACAATTAAACTCACCTAAAGTTAAGTAAACTTTTAAGCCCAACTCACCTGCTCGGAAACCGCCCTGAAGAGGCACGTTTCATCGTAAGCAACGTTCTTCCTGTAATACCCAAGCGTATCGAGCCACTCATCGACCGGTCCCGGATTCCTTCCTTTCCTCGTGTGCCTCGCCATCACTCTCTTCAGCAATTGCCAAACAAAAAAATAAAAATCCAATTCGAATCAGAGAAGCGACCCGAACATTTGTGTTTTCGCACGTGGTGTTGTATTCACAATTTCGTATGTCCGCAAAAAAAAATGAGCCTCCATCCAAGAAGAAAAAAAATAAATTTTGTTTGAATAGCGAGAAAGACTTTGCGCAGCTTCGACTTGCACCAATCAGAATCTTCTGCATTTTTCAAAACATCATTGGGAACAAAGAGTCAGCAACAAAGATGTTTACGTTAAACTGTACAAAGATAATAGACGAAGAAATGCAAACATTGCATGGCAATAAAAACATCCATTATCTTGTTATATTTATA